CTACAGGCCTGTCAGTTTGACCTCAGTGCCAGGGAAACTCATGGAGCAGATTATCTTGAGAGTCGTCACGGGGCACTTACAGGGCAAGCAGGCGATCAGGCCCAGTCAGTATGGGTTTATGAAAGGCAGGTCCTGCTTGATGAACCTGATCTCCCTCTATGACAAAGTGACGCACTTGGTGGATGAGGGAAAGGCTGTGGATGTGGTCTACCTTGACTTCAGTAAGGCTTTTGACACCGTTTCCCACAGCATTCTCCTCAAGAAACTGGCTGCTTGTGGCTTGAACTGACATACACTTTGTTAAGTTAAAAACTGGCTGGATAGTCAGGCCCAAAGAGTTGTGGTAAATGGAGACAAGTCCAGTTGGAGGCCAGTCACTAGTGGCGTTCCCCAGGGCTCGGTGCTGGGGCCAGTCCTCTTTAATATCTTCATTGATGATCTGGATGAGGGCATTGAGTGCACCCTCAGTAAGTTTGCAGATGACACCAAGCTAGGTGCGTGTGTTGATCTGCTCGAGGGTAGGAAAGCTCTGCAGGAGGATCTGGATAGGCTGCACCGATGGGCTGAGGCCAACTGCATGAAGTTCAACAAGGCCAAGTGCCGGGTCCTGCACCTGGGGCGCAATAACCCCAAGCAGAGCTACAGGCTGGGAGATGAGTGGTTGGAGAGCTGCCAGGCAGAGAAGGACCTGGGAGTGATGGTGGACAGTCGGCTGAATATGAGCCATCAGTGTGCTCAGGTGACCAAGAAGGCCAACAGCATCCTGGCTTGTATAAGAAGCAGTGTGACCAGCAGGGCTAGGGAGGTGATTGTCCCCCTGTACTCGGCTCTGGTGAGGCCGCACCTCGAGTACTGTGTTCAGTTTTGGGCCCCTCGCTACAAGAAGGACATTGAGGTGCTTGAGCGGGTCCAGAGAAGGGCGACGAAGCTGGTGAGGGGCCTGGAGAACAAGTCCTACGAGGAGCGGCTGAAGGAGCTGGGCTTGTTCAGCCTGGAGAAGAGGAGGCTCAGGGGCGACCTTATCGCTCTCTACAGGTACCTCAAAAGGAGGCTGTAGCGAGGTGGGGGTTGGCCTGTTCTCCCACGTGCCTGGTGACAGGACAAGGGGGAATGGGCTAAAGTTGCACCAGGGGAGTTTTAGGTTGGGTATTAGGAAGAACTTCTTTACTGAGAGGGGATTGTTAGGCATTGGAACAGGCTGCCCAAGGAAGTGGTAGAGTCACCATCCCTGGAGGTCTTTAAAAGACATTTAGATGTTGAACTTAGTGATATGGTTTAGTGGAGGATTTGTTAGTGTTAGGTCAGAGGTTGGACTTGATGATCTTGAGGTCTCTTCCAACCTAGACAATTCTGTGATTCTGTCTGTGAACCTGAGGGTGCTGGAGCAGAGCATCTATTATTTGAGATTTTGCTGACTGACACTGTTAAAGCTTCAAGGCAATTTTTTACTAGGCTGCAGGTGTACAAATAAAGCAAAAACTGGTGGTGTATTTCACTTAGAGCGTTTGAAATGAAATGACACTGCAAGTGTTATATGTGTCTCAGAAAGCTCTCACACTGGATTAGTCAAGGGAATGAAAGGTAGCATGGTACATAAGGTGGTACGTGGCTAGAGGATAGCGTGTTACCAGAAACGAGGTCTCTGAGTGTGCCTGAGGTGCTTTTCCTGCTGGAGCAGAGGCGGCTGCGTGGCAGGGCGCTGACACCTCCGAGCAAAAAGGGCTTGGCCTGGTGCAGCCGCCTGATGTGGCCCAGCAGCGGACTCACCCGTGGAGCTGGCTGAGGGCACCCTTCCTGTCTGTCCCCATGCCTTGTCACGGATCTGGGATTTACCCTCCTGTTAGTACAGCACAAACCATAGCCCTGGATCCTGTCTGTCCAATCTATTTCGCACCAGCTCTGCACCTTCTGTTCTGCCTCAGGGGTAATGGGAGAAAATGCATGAACTGCCCCACCAAGCCTGTGCAAATGTGTATGTGACACCCTTAAACAGCCCTGGGGATGGGATTAGCTGTTTAGCTGAGGGGAGAGTGGTTGCAATGTATTTTGAGGCACCTGGGGCCAATGCGAGGCAGCTGAGGGTGTACCTGGGTGGGTACAGCCAGATTTCAGCTATGGTGAAAACTGCATATTGCAATGCGGCTCCTCTGTGGTGCAGAAAATGACTTGGTGTGTGCTGCCTGCATAGCTGGGAGTGACGATGAATGCGGTTGCGGTCAGCATTAAACAAAGTGTAACTGCAAAATGAGCTACGTGCCAGAGGTCATAGCCCTGTACGCACCTGCAGTGGTGACAACCCTTCAGTTTTGCTGTTCATCCCACATTTTGCATGCCACCATCAGGGTAGCTGCCCTTTGTTCAGCGAGAGGAAGAGACTGCAGTCCCTTCCCACCTCAGCCATTCTGCGATTCTTGATGCAGCGGCTTATAAAAAGCATCAGCATGACCCTCCGTGAGTCTCATGGTTCTTGCTCTTTTTTTCTGGCTTCGATCACTTTTTTTTCTACCTGCTTCTTAGCAATAAATTTTTGCACAGTGACCGCTGGTGCATTTCTTTCATTCTTCTCACTAAGACCTGGAGCTTTGGCTTTCACTGCAGCCTGAAAAACCAGGAAAGAGCGAACTGCTGGGAGCCATATCAGCAGGTGGAAACAAAAGAGAGGAAGAAACGTTTGTTCCTAGCACCAGCTCTCCTCTTTATCTCTGCTTTCCCTTTGTGGGAGCACAAGGGACAGTCACACAAGGGCAATTACAAAATTCCCTCCTGGCTCTGGCTTTTCTCCTCCTGTTACTGGGGTGACCATCATCCCGGGCAGCTTCCCAGATTCCTGGCAGCGCTGCACCCTACGCGCCAGGCAGGCAGGGTTGTCCTGCAGCGACACGGGTGGTGAACAGCCCAGCCAACAGCAGAAGTCACTGTCACCAAACAGCCCCTTCCCAGGCTGAAATCATCTGCCTAACGCTGACTGTAGCGGAGTATTGATGGTGATGCGCAGTGAGGCGTGCAAAGGTTAAACATTGTTCATGTCGCTGGCTCAGAGAGGCTGCGTGTCCATCACTAGACAGTGATAAGTGGCTTGGGGGCTTTGTGTCTAACCACTGCAACTTCTCACAGTGCTGCCATCTTCCCAGGCTAAAGCTGGTTTGCAGCAGAGCAACGGGATGAAGAACTGCTGACTTCCAACAGGGCAGGGCAGCGACTGCTTTGATGGATGATGAGACTGTAGTCGAGGTGTCAGCTCTGACATTTCGGAGCCATTGTCTGCCTTGTCCTGCAGTTCTGCCTCTGTCTGTAACGCAGTGCAGAGCTGGATTCCGCCGGGGAGCGGGGTGGAGATCAGCAGCATCAGCAGCACCAGCAGCATGCCCCTAGCTCGCCTGCTCCCGGGGGGCTGTGCAGGGGGAGCTGCACCGCAGCAGTGCTTCCTCCTGCAAAATGCCACCAGGGATGCCAGAAGTCTGGGCTCTCCGAGGTGAGCATACAAAATACTGCAGAACAACAGGCTGCTATTTCTACTCCCTGCCAAGGAAACAAGTGGTTCAGTCAGGGATGCTGCTGGCTCATGCTGGGGAAAAAAAAAAAAATCACTTACGTGACCTAGGCTTGTTTGATGCTGACCACGCGCAATCTGACTAGTGTAACCATGCCCTGAACTGGCTCAAATCCACTGCACTGCATGTGCCAGAAGTGCTTTGTAAGGCAGTTGAGGCTCTGCCGCTCCTCTCCTGCTCTAGCAGAACCTCCCTGGCACCCAGCACGGGCCAGAAACACTGCGGCATGTTCCTGCCAGGGCCGTGCCCTCACCACCTTCCTCCGGCTGTGCCATTGCAGCTGGGCACACGGATGCCCGGCGAGTGCAAGTTCCTGCTTTGTCACTACAGTGGATGATTTTTTTCAGACTTCTCTCACTGATTTGCCTGTGTTCCTTTATTTCTTTCCTATTCCCTGAATTTTACCAAAGCTGCCCCTACCCCAGCACCTGTAGGGAAGCACTGGAAGGTCTGAGTTCACTCAACAAAGCTGATGAACTGAATGTAAGTGCATCTGCCTTTCTACAGTGTTTAGGTAATATTTCGAATCAGAAAAGTGTTTGCTCATCTCTACAAGATCAAGTTTTACTTGTGGGGATGCTTTATTTCTCCAGCTACATGACTAGAAAGTGTTTGGATTTTCATTAGCCCAAGTGATAAATGTCCTCCATTAGTTCCCTCTCACACCCTTTCCCCTCTGTGGTATTTTTCCTGTGTTTGCCCTATTCTGGCTTAAGATACAAACTTAGCTGATTCAAGTTATCATGGGCACTTGTCATACAACCCATGCTACGTCACAAATTTGTTATCTCACTGAGACCTTTCCCTCTCTTCTTAAGCCTGAGCTTTTTTGAATGAGCCTTACGCTATCAGCTGCTGCTGTCAGGACCCTGTCAGCTCAGGATGCCGATGGCAAGAAGGAGCCTGCCATGCCAGGCATCCATTTCATGGCACATGGCATCTGCAGGTGCATTACAACACATAAATAAAAAGGGGAGTTGCTTTGAGCATTTCAGAGTGTTAAATTTACTTGTTCTGCCTCTAAGGGATTTGAGATTTTGAAGATGCTGTGCAATATGCTTCCCGTTCTCCCCTAACAGGGCAGAATATTGCACCCTGTAGAGCAGCCTGCCCTATCCTCCCTCTCTGGCAAGAGTTCATGGTCTGGACTTTGGGGTTTCAGCATCTTTTGCCAAACAAATGGGATGGGTAAAGAAAACTATGCATTGGATGAAAAGGAATTCTGCATTTTTAACCATTTACAAAATCATTGAATCGTTTCACTTTTCGTTTCCTTTCCCGTCATCAGAGGAGCATGCTTACTGCGAGTGTGATGGCTGTCTGGGTGGTGGCTTGAGCTGGTTTTGGTACCCCCAGTACCACCCGTGTCCATGCACTGTACCCAGCCACTGCTCCCGCAAGGCCTGTGCATTGCAAGGGCCTTTTCCACGCCACAAAGGAGAGGACACACCAGCTTTCTTTTTGTTTATTGTGTTACACTTAAGCAAAACGGCATGTGGTTATTTGCAGTTATCAGCTGATGATTTCACCACGGCTAAGGAAAAGCAATTAAACAGTTCTGGACTCAGTTAAGCTGAAGGGAGACACAGGCCTTGCGGCAGGAGAGGTAGTGTGGGCGACAGTGAGCTGGGTGTTATTGCTGTCTCCTGGGCACATGGCCAGAGCAATTTTCTGGGAGTAGCAGCAAGAAATACAGGCACTGCAGATGTCCCCACCTGCACTGGAAGCTGCTCTGAGTCACCTCTCCCCAAGCTGGGGGACTCTGTTGACCTGCCCAAGTTGGGGCTGTCCCTGTCTCTTTTCCAGATGTTAGTCTCCTCCAAAAACGGAGCACTCCCCTCTGCTCGCATTGCTGCGGTTCAAATGTGAAACTCCCATGTCTCTTAAAAAATGACCTCTACAAAGTCCCTGACCCAGGAAATGCTTCAAAATGGTCTTCTGCTCATCATTGATGAGGATGGAAAGGTAAGGAGTTGCTGGTTCTCTCTCTGGGCTGTTGCTGCTGAAAGGAGCAAGTCTTTCAGGAACAGCAAGCTTCAAGTCTTGGTCTTTAAATGTAGTCTCCAAGGACTGTAGTCAGAGGAACCCACTTGGAGCACCTCAGCTGCAAGGCACGTCAGGATTTGTTTGGCTTTGTTGTATCTGCAGTTTTCATTTAACTGTGGAAACTCAGTTCGCTACAGAAATTATTGACATTAACACCTATCATATATTTTTTGCTTTTTTTACTTTTTTGCTCTTCCAACTGTGGCTGGAGGCCCAAAAGCAGCAAATCAGTGCTAGTGAGAAGTTTGAAGAGGCTAGAGGTTACACTTCCTCACCAACCCGCTTCTTTGTAGACATTGTTCAGGTGAGTGCAGATTTCATTGGTCACCTTCTCAAAAGAGGCTTTGCAGTCTCCACCAAATTTCTCCTCCATCATTTGCAAGATGATGTCACAGATGATCTAAACAGGGAGAAGGGAAGAAACAGTGTGAAATTTCCTCCATAATAAATGGAGGCACGATAAAACATATTTTTAAGTTGTGGTTTTTGGAGAATGGAAAGGGGGTACAAAAGCAATTCAGGAGTATGTAGTGCGCAGAACTGGAAATAGGTTGTGGGAAATTAGATGCATCATAGAATTCACCCCAAATTGCAGTCACTGTTGTATTTTTAACCACCCCATCTCTATTTAATGTTGACTGCCCTGATATACACAATCACTTAAAGACTTAGGTAGAGACAAATGCACTCTGCTGGTGACTTCAGGTGGACTTGGGAAAGCCATTTGGTCCTCTATGTATCACATCTGTTTGTTTAGCGATGGCAATGCTGTTGCTGTTGTTGCTCAATAACAAGTGTTTCAGGTGTCCTGGTAAAGCTCAGTTGCTGATATTAGAGAGAAATAGACATCATGGACTGAAGCTCAGTGTAGGCTGCTTTTCTGTGTCTTGTGATAAAATGACAACTGTTGCACTGAGAAAACCTGCTACAACTCATGGGCATGTCTGCAGCTCCCACCAGAGCAGACTTGCTTGTACATCAACTGCTGCACAGCCTTCTCTCCAACGGATGCCAGGCATCTCATTCCTGCAGTCTTCCCACACTGAGCATCTCACCTTCCACTATCTCCACTCCACTCGCCTATATATATTTACACATACAAAGCCTGTTTTCCTCAGCTCTTCCCCTCCAAGGGGAAGACATCATTCCGTCACTACTACACCCCCCAGAGAAGATGGATGCTGGCTCACCCTGAAGTTTTTGGGGTCGACCTTGAGCTGGGTGGCATGTTTCTGGCCAAGCGGGTTCAGTATCCCAAGAAAAGCTTCAGTGTTGTCCAGGTGCTGCACCATGTCGTTGATGGCAGTGAAAACCCTCTTGCCATGGCCCCTGACCTGATCCGACTGTTTCATCTCTTCGGCGGAGTCCATGCCTTTGAAATGTGTGAAGTAGGACTTGGTATCTGGGTGCTCAGTAAACATCCTGTGGAGAAATGAGAGAGGGCCTAATTTGCGGACTGAGGTACCAATGCAGACACGAATTCATGTGCCAGGCCTTGCATTATGTATTTGTTGGCCTTTTTCCTTCCCTTTATTAGAACAAACTCCTCTTTCCCATGCACTTCTTTGTTCTCCTTTGCCCTTCCCAGCCACGCATGACCCCTGTGCCCACAGCAGCCTGACCCTTCTTGTGTCTCCCCAGGGCACTCGGCTCACTGCTTCTTAAAACCACTGCCCTTGCTGCTGGCCTATGCTCTTCTGAGAGGGTCACTCACAGCAGTTTGACCAGCTTTACTTTTGCTCCCAAGTTTCACTTATTTCTTCACAGGGATGTGCAACTGTGGCTCCACATCCTAACGCCAGGAGGCACCTGAAACTGTGCTATCTGCATGGAGCAGCCTGCCTGCCCTCTCCTGAATTAACTCCACTGCTCCTGAAGCAAACACCTCTTCGGAGTTAGGTGGAGATACAAGCCACAGAGACATGGGAGCGCATTCAGGCAGGGCGAGTGTGACGGTGCACAGTCACAAGGATGTTCTGGACAGCAGATGTCTCCACTTTGATCTTAATGGGTATTTTCAAGGAGAAACCAACCATTGTTTTTCTTAGTTAACCCCTTCCTGGAGTCCATCCCTGAGCTTTCTTCTGCTTGTGATGGATTATTGTTTGTGTACTCAGTACTGCTCATTTCATTTATTCAAAGGTAACACAGTTCGATGCCTCTCATAAAGGAATTGTCTTTTATAATATCTCAATTACAGTCACGTCGGTCAAGCTTGTAAGAAAACAGGTTACTTTGTTGGATAAACCAGTTACCTGCCTAAAACAGCATTAGCAAATTCCAGACTGCATTTCACAGAATCACAGAATGGTTGGAGTTGGAAGGGAACTCTGGAGGTTATTTAGTCCAAGCCCCCTGCTCAAGCAGGGACACCCAGAGCAGGCTGCCCAGGACCATGTCCAGGTGGACACAAGGATCTCCAAGAGGGGAGACTCCAAAATCTCTCTGGGCAACCTGTGGCAGTGCTCAGTCACCCACGCAGTGAAGAAGTGCTTCCAGATGTTCAGAGGGAACCTCCTGTGTTCCAGTTTGTGCCCAGTACCTCTTGTCCTGCCACTGACAAGTGCCTGGCTCCATCCTCTTTGCACCCTCCCTTCATGTACCTATAAACATCGATAATTCCCCCCGAGCCTCCTCTTCCCCAGGCTGAATGGCCCCAGCTCTCAGCCTCTCTTCACAGGAGAGTTGCTCTGGTCCCTTCATCAGCCCTCTGTGGGGCTCTCCCCAGTATGTCCATGTCTCTCTTGCACTGCGGGGCCCAGAGCTTCTCTAAAGGTTGGGCTGGGTCTGTGGGACACTAAGACTAAACTTTCTACAGTAAAACACCCTGAGGAGCCAAACCACTGGATGCTAACATTTAATAACTGTACTTCTAACCCTAACTGTCCTCAGGGTATGTAGACCACAGAGGGAAAGAGCAGAGAATAACATTTATTGAGGCACAAGGTGTGATATACAAGAAGACCAAAGGTGTGCTGAACAGAAAGAGTATTTGGGCTGACCAGTGCACATGGAGGTGATGTAAGTCCCACCTGAGAGAGGGTATATGAAAAGTGAATAGAAGAAATGTGTGTCTTATGAGAGATGAGAAGAAAACGGGGTGAGGACTAAAAGAGGAAAGATCACAGGAGGGACAAAATACAATGAAACATACGAGTTATAGACTGGAAAGGCTGAAGGGGACTCACAAGAGAAGTACTGAAGATATACATGTGAAAAAAATGATTCAAGTAGTTCAGAGGTAAAGGGAAATTGGGAAATAGGGCCCATGTTTTGTTCCTGTTCTGTTTTATACCATACTTTATTTTCTTTACCTTAAATACATCACTATTTACGGGGGGATTGGTAGGGTGCAGTAAAGAAATCATTCCAGTCTCTTCCTCCTTTTCCAGCCCTCTCCTCCCTTTCTTTTTGCTTTTCTTTGTATGGATCCCTCCTCTGCACTATTTCCTCCCTGAAGCAGCATAAACCCCAGCAAACCAAAATGTTTCTGGCGAGGGCTGCGTCAAACACATCGCAAGGTGCTTCTAGGTGGCAGCTCCATCCTTCTTGCCGTTCCTGGCTGAACCCTCTGCGGTAGAGCGGGGTAGGCTCTTTCCTTACCTGACCAGCACTGCTGTCCCATTGTCCTCGGCATCCACATAGATCTTCTCCCAGGCACCACGGGCACTCTGCACCTCCGCTTCAGAGAAGGGCATGGTGGAGAAGATGCTGGTGAGGAAGGGCACAGAAGGAGGGAGAACAGGTAGGCAGTGATGGGGTGGTTCTGCTCCAGGGCTCTCTTCAGGGCTCTCTAAATAGTGCCTTGGGGATTTAAGAGATCTTGAATGGTCTCTTTGTCTCCATCCCCATCGGTCACATTTCTGCAGGCTTTAGGGCTGCCTAATCACTTTTAATCAGGAAAGAAAGCAACCACATGAGGAGGGAGGCCTAGCACTCTGGCCTGGAGTCCAGTGCCAGAGCAAAGAGCTTGATGTCTAGGAGAGAAGGGGAAAAAGGGAATTTTCAATGTGGAAGAAAAAGGTAAATTCTCCTTCCCTCCTGTCCCCTGCCAAGGCCAGCACTTGGCTTCTCTTTCCCAGCTGCCATCCTTGCCTGAGCACTGATTTCCTGCTTTGTTCCCGAAAATGTTGCTGTGCTCGGGACACCCACTGTGGTGCCCTGCCTTCCCAGCTTCCAGCCCTTCTTGTTCTTGCGCTCCAAAGATCCCTTTTGCAGCTCTAGCAGCTCACTCCAGTCCCACTCTCATACCATGGCCACTGCTTTCCTCGCAGCCCTCCGGTCTGTTGGGGCTCACGCTCTGACTGTTGCCAGCTTTGGGACCAGGCAGGTGGAAGACACCACCAGTGCTGAATGATACCATTGTGTGGGTGGTCGTGACAAAGCATCCATGGATAGAGGACATAAGGGGCAGGAAAACAGCCGGTGCACACGGGCCTGTTATTGTCATGGTCACTTGGAGGAGCAGGAGGCAAAAAAATCTCAGATTATCCACGTGGCACCCAGGCTTAACCTCTGGCAGGAATGTGCTGGTTAAGTCCAGGGTGCACACACAATATAGGGCTTAGGGGCTTGAGGAACCGCCGCTGCTAGATGCCGAGTGGAAACAAAACCTCCTATTGTTTGGGATAGTCTGGAGGAGGGAAGGAGTGGGCACGAGGGAGAAAAGTGTGTCACAGTGAGCAAAGCCAGCCCGGTCCCCTGGGCAGATGGAAAGGGATGGTTGCAACCGCACAGGGACCTCTTGGTGGAGGTGTGTGACATCTCTGCTGAGGCAGCATTTAAAATACTGAGAGAGAAAGTACAGGTGCTTAACACAGTGGCAAGGTAGAGGCCAACCTCAGTGCCTTTGTAGCACGTTTCCGAACTCCTTCACCTCACACCCTGTGCTCTTCCTTTCCTCTCACCGGGAAGAGGTAAGAGCAATGCACAGCAGTCCTTACAAATTTGTAGCAGTGGGGCAGAAGGGAAGGGTTGCTCCAGCTCCACCTCATAACCCCTCTGTGTTGCCTGCCTCACCACACGGCACTGGCGTCCATGTGCTCTGCAGATATTCTGTGAGAAATTCAGGCCGCAGCACCAGGTCTGGGCATGTTTGTGTCAAAGGACTTCACTGGAACCAAGCACCTTTGTGCTTCCCTCTCCCTTTTCACCAACAAAGAGTGGTCTGGTACAAAGCCGCATGGCCCTCTGCTTTCTCATCCCCAAATCCTCAGACAAATGTCCCAGATTTCAGGAGAGCCTGTGGTGGGGGGGTGAATGGGGACGCAGTGCTGCTGGCACTGCTGCCTCCGTGAAGGCAGGTGCCAAACCATGAATGCTGGCCAGCTGAGCACAACACAACACAGCACAACACAATACTGCTGTGGTGGTGCCAAAGTGCCAGCAAGAACAGAGTCACAGGGGGTGGCGGCTGCCAGGCCAAGAGCCAAAATGGAGGGTTCCACTTGGGGGGAGGGGTGGGAGTGGGGTGGGGAAGAGAGCCCAGTGACTGATCCCGGAAGTCACCATGGTGTCTTCACTAACATCCCTTCTCTCTTAAGCAAATTTATATTCAAATGTTTATTATTCTCATTCAAAAGTGTGTTATTCTCATACAAATGTTTATCATTGTCATTCAGAAGTTTACCACTCCGTTTCCTAATGTTTTCCCCATCTCCTTTTCAAAGGCCAATGATGACTTCAACACCTCATTTTCTGATTTCAAAGCTGTATATTCCACATCAGAAATCAGTTTGGGAGCAGGAGCTTCCCTAGTTTCTTGCTGAGCACAAGACAAACAGGCGCTGAACACTGCACAGATTGCACCTTTACCTTTTCTCACTCCAATCTTTCGTGCAGCCTGACACTGCTTAATGCTTTCTACCACTTTCTCTTGATTTTTCAAAAATTTTGGGGCCCACTCCTTCCCAACCTGGGAAGGGAAACATTTGCCTTTTTGCAGCAGTTTATCCGTGGTAATCCTGCTGACTACTCCAATTTCTCTGTTGTGTTAAGGGGCGTAGGCAAATAACCGAAATAGGTTAGGTCGGGTTCAGGGTACTGAACTGTCACGGTCATGGATTGACCAATAACATAGCACACCCTCACTCTAGTCGGGTTCAATTAGAAATATCACTTCTAGGAACAATGCAATTAAGTGCAGTTTATTACAGCAACAGGTACACAGGCTCTTTGGATTGCCGGCAATAAATTCACTCTCTGAAAAAGCAAGCTAGCATGCATCAAATACACAGGCACACAGCCTGGCTATTAACACGTTATAAGGCACAAAGACTCTACAGAGGTTTCTGTTTCCCAGGGAGGCACTTGGTATAACCAAGTGTTCAAATCTTACCCAAAGGCGTCCCAGTAGGGTAGGGGTCGGGGAGGGGAAGAGAGACTCAGCACGCTGACTGATCCCAGAAGTCACGATGGTGTCTTCCCTAACATCCCCTCTCTCTTAAGCCAATTTATATTATTTTCTATCTTTTAGGTGGAGATTGAGTGACTCTAGTCATACATACCTTTGTTATGACTGGTGCTAAATTTTCTCACTTTTGTTTAAAGGCACAGGCTCCGAGAAATTCAGAGCGCGTGCTCAGTGTGGGGTGGTGGCACCATGGAAGCAGGTAGCTTTTGGGATGGAGGTGTGTTTTGGTATATTATAATGAGCAAAGTTCACCAAAAGGAAAGAATTTTGTCAAAAACATGGCAGGCTGTTGGCCCAGGGTAGCAAATAAGCAGCTTATCAGTTCCAATATACCTTTCAGTTCCCATCTTATCACAGAGCCTGGCTGCAGTGTCTCCAATCCACTTCACTCTCTGTACAGTTCCTCTCAGAATTAGCACACCAGGTTCCCCTAGTGCGATAACACCTAAGGTTAGAGACCTAGGGAACACTTAGGTAATGCAGCTACACTCCACCCCGAAAGCTTCTTCAGTGCTGTACATTCTCTTTCAAATGTGAGTATTAGTTTAATTTTCCTAGTCGCCTTAGGCAATTACTCCACAGAGCCGAAAGGGAGGGTTCCAATGGGGACAGCACGGAGCCTTTGGAGGAGAGCGGAGTGTGGGGTGGATGCTTGTGGCCCAGCTTCCTCCCGCCAGCAGAGCAGCAGGCCTGCCTCCTGGTGCAGCACAGCGCGACGGTGGCGGTTCTGCACAGCGGGCTTGCTTCCCTTTCAGTTTCTGAGAAACATCTGGCTTAGACAGCAGCTGGCTGGCAGGCTCTGTGGCCCCGTGGGGCCATCTGCTAAGCGACTCTCTTAAGTTTCATGTTTAAGGGCAATAAGCCACTTTAGTTATTACGGAACAGCAGTTAATCCCCAGCTTGATAAATGCAATACATGTCTGAGGAATTTAGAAAGTCAAGCAAAGAGAATTCTTTCTCCAAATAATGGGAATGTCATTGCTCAGTAAGACACCGGCAGTGTAGTAACATAAGGGGGCCATTAGCCAAAAAGAAAACAGTACCAAAGCATATCCTTGGGGCTGTGCTGCTGCCCTCCTTGCCCCAACAGCCACGTCTGGATCATGGTCCCCATTCTGGCTGCCCGTAACTGTCCTCCCCACAGTGCCACGGAAGGAGGTTCACCGGCTGTCTGCACACAACCCACACCCAGAAGCAAAGAGCACTCACCAGCCCTGACTTGGATGTGTGGGAAAGATTATCCTGTGCATGTGGAGAACAGTCAGACTTGTTAGCATCACTGATAAGCATCGACCTTCTGCCAAGGGTCATTGAGCAGCCTACTCCTGTTCATCTCTTAGTCAGCCTTTGTGGATGGAGGTCCTCAAGCTTGGTATGAGAGGTTGCTGAAGGAGGGAGTCTTGTGGTGGTGGGACAGCCCTGTTTTGGTGGCAGAAGAGAATCTTGAGGGCCACGGTGCCCAAGTGAAACCTTTTGCTTCATTAGGTGTTTCCTAATTCCTAATCTGTTATATCTGTCACCTTATTAAATATGTTCAACTTTGTGAAACTGTCTCAGTGGAAGTCCTTGGTGGTTCTCCAAAACAGGCAAATGTTTGACTGCAAATACTTTCAACCTTGTGAAGCTGTTCCAATGAAAGCCCTTCGTAGGGCTCTGAAACAGGCAAACACCGGACTTTGGTAAATCCCCTTTAACACGATAGTGGGACCACTGATTAATAGGCCCTGTGTGCAGGAGAGGTTGTAGAGGAAGCAACAAACCTGTAGCTGCTGAATTTAATTCTCTCCTAATTTGGGTTCCTCCTAATGTCCAACCAGAACATAATGGATATGTCACAGTCATGGTAACACAGTGCTAAAAAGAAAGAAAGAAAGAAAGAAAGAAAGAAAGAAAGAAAGAAAGAAAGAAAGAAAGAAAGAAAGAAAGAAAGAAAGAAAGAAAGAAAGAAAGAAAGAAAGAAAGAAAGAAAGAAAGAAAGAAAGAAAGAAAGAAAGAAAGAAAGAAAGAAAGAAAGAAAGAAAGAAAGAAAGAAAGAAAGAAAGAAAGAAAGAAAGAAAGAAAGAAAGAAAGAAAGAAAGAAAGAAAGAAAAAGGAAGGAAGGAAGGAAGGAAGGAAGGAAGGAAGGAATATTTTTTTTTAAAGAAGGAAAAAATAGCTATGAAAAAATATAGTCCTGCATGGGAAAGTACCTTACAATCTCCTCCACATTGCTTTCATTAGTGTGTCTGGCAGTTCTCTCCTACATTGAGAACTGTGGGCTTGAGTGGAGCTGTGTTGTACTTTGCACTTGCCAAAGTACAAATTCAAAAGGATAAGAAAAATATGGAGTGCTCTGTTTCAAATTCTCCTTTTCTCTCTCCAGTGGCACAGACGGACTCGAAGCAGGTTTGGTCTGGGGACCATGCACTGCCAGACTGGGAGCAAGAAGGACAAAAATAATGGCATGGGGAATGTACAAACCATGTGGACCTTAATCACCCAGAAGAGCCCTTACGTATTTTACAGAAAAATATGATCTGACTCTATAGAAATCTACTCAGATTTCTGCTGTGAGTATTTTTAATGTGCATTTAAGACTGTAAACATGAAAACACATGCATCATATTCAAAATAGTTCATCTTTTATACAGCATGCGGCATAACATATTTGCAGATTAATCCTCTGAATCCTGTTGTAATGACTGACAAGGATTAAGTAGATGGATAGCAGTGGTTCTAACATAGTCATTGCAGCTAACAAAGACTCCAATGCTGATTTTTAATTCAGTGTATCTGACTAACTGAGTATTAGCACTGGAACAGTTCAGCGTTAGGCAGAGAAGCTATATCCTTAGCACGCACATACACGATAACAGTTTTAAGGCCTGGTTGGGTAGTGGACCTGACCATGTGTAGGCAGGACTTCCTGCTCAAGGAAGCGTAACCCACCCCATGACTATAGCCACTTAAGCTTCATGACATTTGGAACGTATCGGGTATATCACATACATTTTGGGGATGAGGATTATTGAGTGTATGTATTTCGTGTAAGGATACGAAATGTTTCATCATAGTCCAGAGTTTAACATGCAAACAAATTGTTAGTATAAAGCATACTGCAGCAAGTACTAACCAAACAACAACAGGGTGAAGCATCTTGTTGAAGATTCCTGTGGCAGTTGGCGACCATCCAAATAAAGTGTCCCACCAATGGTGCTGTTCATCTTTCTTTATTCTTATCATCGCTTGATATATTTCTTCTATATCATGATGGACAGTAATCAGAGTCTTTTGTCCATTTTCTCAAACTTGTTTCATCAACCGCTTCAAGTCTTCATATAACAGTAATTTCCTCAGCAGGGTAAGTTTCATTCTAATAGGAGTAGGCAGCAGATCATGAAGTTAAGTATAATTGGATGTAATAAGTTGGTAAGAGGTGACAGGAGTTGATTAACTAAAATCACATTCTAGAATTTTGGTAAAGTTACAAATGCAAACATTAGAGTCATGAAGAAAGTTAACTGCATCCCAGACAGACCCAGCACACTTCATTGTTACATGCTTTTCCTGGGCAAATTTGGACTCACACAGGCCACATTTTGCTGAGCCTGTTCACAGGTGCTCTAGACAGGAGGGAAAGAGATGAGCTTTTATGGAAACAGAAAACATTAAGCCCAAGTCAGTGACATAGGGAGTATCTTCAGCTGGACAGAAGGGCTCAGGCAACTGCATAAGCACTATTCATATCCATAATATTACAATCTAGCAGTAGTATATGCCCAGTCAATGAGATAAAACCACCAAATGGTTTACGGGAACACAACACTCTCATAGGTTTTGGATCCTAGCTCACAGATGTCCCTGAATTACTTCTTCACATGGTACCTTTGACTGGGACAAAAGCCCTTTAATTATACATAATGTATTTCTAAGTGATGTTCTGAAGAAAACTTAAATCCATTTAAATGTCTCCCCTGGCAGTATTAAACCTGAACTCCAAATAAAGAGACCTGATTTTGAATTAAGGGTAAGACTGGATAATAAACTTTATGGTCCATTTGCCATTTTACATTGTAGTAGTTGGTACCTACTGCTTAGGCTGTCCCTTGAATTTGTTGTCCCTGCTGCTCTAAGAACAAAGCATTTACACTGCTAAAAAATCTATCACAACTGTCTGACTTTGTTTGGAAGCAATGTCTGTAGCTGTGGCTTTAAATTCAGTAAGCCCAAATTTAATATCCAGCCTAAGTTTTCGTTTCTTCCTCAGCCTTGTGTCTGGCATTGTTACTGCGCATGAGCCGAGCAGTTCCATCCCTTCCTCATCTACATACTGAGCACAGTGCTTTTCTGTGGAGTAGAAAGCAAAGCGTACACATGTCTGATCTTGTTCTATTGGCTGAAAAATATATTCGGCAACTTCATTTATATTCACTGACTCCTCAATTCCCACCAATTTCTTGAAGATATCTTTGCAATAAACAAGCCCATCAGCTTTTGAGACATATCGTTTACAAAAGTCGTGGATAGCAACATCAAATGTTGTGTATACTTCTACACCATATGTCCGAGCACTGATTCTTGAAGCAATGATTTTTGGATTGACTCCAAATAAAACAGCCCCTTTTGCAACAGCAGCTTGGGCCTCAATGGGACAAAGGACATTATACTTCTTGCTAAAAGCCTGATGGATTGCATCCCTCAAGATGATGCTAGTTGAAAAACCTCCCACAAGTAAAATGTACTGGACCTTGGCCATCTCAGGCTTGCCAAGGATTTCCCTCAAAGTACCAACAATATTTTTGATACTGTACTCAAAAAAGCTCTTCATTTTCTCATATGTAATCATGATCATCCCATCACACCATACAGCTCCTGTGACATTTGTGAAGAACTGAGAGATCTCCTTCCTGCTTTCTGCCACTCTTGTCAAGTTGTAGTAGCAACGTATGTAGACTGCTTCCCTGCTGGCAGAGCATTTCTGTAGACTGAAGTTGTACATCATATGTTGCAATTCAGTAGGGTGGCTCTTTACATATTCATCCCATACACCATCGTCGAATATTTCTCTGAGGAATGCACTGAAGTTTTCATCCACTCTGTTGCCTCCCCATCCACCTCCAGATGCCTTGTGTAACTCCTTCAGATAATGGTTTTCTTGGATCTCATGTACTGTGATGTCTATTGTGCCGCCTACACACATACACACAGACAAATGAAGTTAGATGTTCTCTCTGAATTACACAAGATCCTTACTTTTCACTGAATATAGTCTTACTTTCTGAACTCCTGGGTCCCAAGTGTGCTTTTCTGGTGCTTTCTTTTTCACATATGCTCTCTTTCTCTATTGCCTGTATGCCTTTAGATTTCCTAAATTTAAGCACTAAATTTAAGTTGACTCTTGCCTTTTGTTACACAAGCTCTGAGTTAAAATTAACAGTGATGGTGAGACTGTGAGAAACCTGTGGTGCTCTTGATACTTTGGCAGTCTTTGTTCACAGTCACCAGAGTGCTCTTGGCAGTAAATTCATGTCACTCTAAAAAACTTCCACAGGAAACAACAGAAATTACTAAGTGGCGCTCTATCAACTATTTTTAATTATTTATTCTACAGGGCCTACTAGTTAATCGCTTTGGCCAGTTCACTGGGCACTGCACTTGCTCCTACAGAGGAAGCTACACAACAGTAATTGGGTGTGTGTCAGTGGCCGGTGCTGGAACAGGGAGCAGGATGGAGTGGCATGATGGCAGGAGCTTGTGCAGCGACTGGCTGGCCTGAAGTGCTGGAAGACATTAGACACTCATTGACTTCCATTTGCCATGGATCAAACCTTTAGAAGACCTGCCCTTTCTTCCCATTTTGCTGCCTGCCCATGGGATCTCATGAAGAGAAAAATTAAAATAAAAATACCATCACAATCACAGTAGTGGAGTTCAAGCTCTGGGACTGCTCTGCAGTCCTCTTGGGGGCCTCTGTGTTAGACGCAGCAAAAGTGCCGCTCTCCATGCCCAGCAAAGATTGTACCTGTTGAACAGGGAAAACTTTACCTCCACAGTCAACAACAATATACTGGATCCCAGGGGAGTCTTCAAACTTTTTCTTGTCACTGGCCTCTACGATAAACCCTTCTTGTGGAAGCTGTTTGCACCAAAGTGATGCAGCCTCTGGCTCCAGGGCAATAATCAGCTTCTCAGAAATCATGTCAGAGATGAGTCCTGCCTAAAATCACAAGAGAAGTGTCAGTTCAGAAAAGGTGGCAAGATCACTGCTGCATGAACACCATCTGCTAGTGAGGCTGTTCTCATCCACTCTGGAGTAATGCTTCTTGCACCACTGATCTCTGTGGGCTCATTTCTAGACAGTGGCAGGAGAAGGGGCAGAGCAGTGGTTACTTCCAGCTCAGGACATTCCCCTACACACATATTAGGGGAGATTCATCTCCCTGATGGATAGAAATTTGAAATGCAGGTTGTTTAAAAAAAGAACATTTCCTCTTCCTTGATGGGTAAAGAAATCTGAGAAGATAACCTGAGGAAGTGGGATAACCACTGGTTTTACCTCTTTTGCTGCCAGCCGCATGAACTGCCTGGCAGCTGCACTCCATATGGCTGGGACAGTAATGACCCAGGTGATCTCCTGGGGGTCACAGACGGTGTGGAAAGAAGCCTCTTGGACAGTGTTCAGGGCATGTTCCTTCATGTAGCGTAGGCTTTCAGCAAAGACCATCAGGGCAGGAAGTGTCTTTCCATTGCTTGCTTCCATTTCCATGCCAGAAGTCACTTTCTACAATTGAGAGGAAACAGTAAAAATGTCTTGGGGTTAAATGTAGAAGTCCCAGTAACAGTTCTGTCCTCTTTACACTGAGCACTGCACAGAACATGCTATAGAATGAGGTCCTATCTCCAGATCTCAGTAAATTGCCCCAAATGGCTTCATTATGTAGCTAACTGAAGTCTAATAGATGCAGGTCAGCTACCAAACTGCTTGCCTATAATCTTTTAATAGGCAAAATACCCATGTGGTTGATAAGTCAACTGTTCCTTGTGTTCCAACTTTCATAAAGACCCTATAGATCCTCCTGAACAGTAGTGGGGAGAATTGTACTTTCTATGTGACATCATCCTATATTTCCCAGGCATATGTACAGAGACTTCAGGTTGCTCCTATGCTCTGGTGTATGTAGTTAACAAAATATATACTGGAAAAATATACAGACAAATATCCCTCTGTTCTGATACGATTTATCTGTAATGTATCCTCTTGGTTTATGGGCTTATGTGTCTGCCTACATATATGTGAAACCTGAGGCAGATGGCCGCTCTGACATTTTTTCAGTCTCTTCCAGGAGCCCCAAACTTCCTCCATCAGTTCCTGCTTCCCTGCTCTATCTAGAAATGTGGAAATTGTTGCCTGTATCCAAAGTTTTGTGAGCCAGACTTTACTGCACATTTCTCTTTGTTCTGCTTCAGCAGCCATCAAAGATGGCTGGAACAGGCTGCCTAGCTGTGTAACCATCCCTAGAAGTCTTCAAAAAATGTGTAGATGTAGAGCTTAGGGACATGGTTTAATGGTGGACTTGGCAGTGGTAGGTTACAGGGTGGACCAGATGATCTTAAAGGTCTTTTCCAACCTAAATGAGTCTATGATTCTACGAAAGATGGCCCCAAATCAGAACAATCATCAACTGGATAAACAAATTAATGAACTTGGGAACCTTTACAGCCAATGGAGGTAAGTAGGCAGGTCCAGGGTCTGCCCAGCTATAACAGTCAGAAAAGGCACTGTGCAGCCACTGGAAGGAAAAGCAATCTATGTTTATTTTTACTTATAAACTAATTTCCTGTCACTGTTCCTGGCTCAGTCAACAGAAGGTGATGCATTTTCTCCATTGGCACTTTTTGTGGAGATTCAGCAATAACAAGGTAGGTGTCTGGGAATTGTTGTTTCCCTCTCTTGTCTCTTTCTAATACTTCCCTTAACCATTTGCTCTGTGGGTACAGAGAAATGGGCTTGAACTAAAATCTCTCTTCAGAACCTCCTGCCCCAAAAGTGAGTGAGAGCCTATCACTCCATGGGTGACACTATGTCAGACCACATCGTTCACACCTTTCCTGGGGAGGGGAGTCCTTACAGCAGCCTCCCACCTCCCCCACACCTGGATCAGCACTCATTGCTTAGCACTGGAGGATGCTAAAGAGCAGACAAGGGACTTCATCTGGGGCTGACTCTGTTCTCTGGATTAGTAGCAAGCACACATCAAGTTGTAAGACTTTGTGCAAACACTCACAGTGGAGAAACACCAATTTTGAGGACATACAAAGTAAAATGAAAAGCACAGAGCCAAAGTGAACTAATAAAAGCAGATGGTGACAGATGGTGACACTTAGGAAAAGTTAATCTCAATAGGCAAAAAGCAGAAAAAGGTGGAAGACCTGTGGGAGGTGCTGTAGGACCACAGAGCACAGACAAGGAAGCCCTGAGGTAGCATGATGTTTGGTTGAAGAAACCTTACCAGAAAAAGCCATGAACAAGTCTGAACTAGCACAGAGCCGTCGGAGAAAAACAGTAACTACTACTTGCTTGAAAGACAGACAGACACGGCTTGAGGACATTCCTTCAGGGGAGGGAAAGACAGGCTGACCCTGGGTCAACCCATCTTGAATTACAAGAAACTTCCTTTGTTCTATGTACAAGACTGAGGTAGAAAGTCCCAGAAAGAGGTTAGTTTCTCTGCTAAGTTCTAGAGCAGGGTAGATTTTTGTTAAGAACAAGTATTTGGCTTCAATGGGGTCTGCAGTCTCGTGAAGCCGTTAGCTAATTAAGAATGTAAATCATTTCTTGTTTATCAAAATGCCCTTTGACTTCTGTTCATTCATCTTGGCCAGCCAGATTACTCTGTCCCCTTCACCAATTCCTTTAACCCACATCCCTTAAATAAACAAATAGCTCTGACTTGCATTAGCAGTAATCACTCTACATACCGTGTTGTACAGTCTCATCTTGAAGTTCTCGAAGAAGTACCACTTGTCAGCTTCGCCGGAGGGCAGGCTCTTGTACTTCATCACAGCATCATAGCCAAATTTACTGAACTCCTTCTTCTGGTTGAACAAGATGCATGTGGGCGTCTTTGGGGTCTTGAGACCATGCTCTGTTCCCCAGAACACCTGGCGGATTTGGTCTGTACCCGAAGCAAGGGAAAAACAGTACCCACTGTAGGATGTGCCAAAATCTATAGCGACGACAAAGACTGAATCGCTGGCCATGTCTGACAGCATCGCAAATACGCACAGCTCTGGGGTTACAGAGGAATAAATATAACAGACTGGGATGAAATTGAAACTGTTCTGGCTACTACTGCAGCATGAAGTCACCCCCATCCTGTCTTTACTGGCTACTGGCTGAAGGGAAGTAAATTCGGACATCAATTCCAGGAAACAGTACCCTTTCTTGTAAAAGGGAGGGCTGAATCTCACAGTATGTAAGCAAGAAACTCCCTGGCACTTGCATTTGCTGTCTGCGCTCCTAGGAACACAGTGCTGCCGTTCACTTGATTGTTTTCTCCTCCTGTAACTTCGTGGATCGACCCGGCTTTCTCTCCTACAACCAACTTGGGATGCATGGAGAATATGAACACTTATTCTAGAGAGGGGACTTCAGAAGTTGACAGGTATGTTGCACAGAGGTTGTCTCCAGCTAAACTTACACTTTAAACTTAAAGTTCAAACTTAGACCTAGCAGGTATGGGGGCTTGCAGGAAGGGAACTGCAAACATTTCCTGAGTGAAATATTTCAAACAGCTTTGTTTCCTACCTCCTGTCCTGTGGAGCTTCCCTGAGGAGTCACATGGTCAGTCAGTCTCCCATGATCAAATTCTGCTCCAAAGGATAAGGCACACCTTAAATGCATGTGAAAGGAAAAGAAATTTGAAAGAACAATATAAACAGTGTAACAGATCCTAGACTTTAGGGGAACCCTCTCTGTACTCCTTTATTTTGAGGGGAAAGGCTGACTTAAATGCAGATTTTATACTGAAATGGTGAGTTCAAATTAAAAAAAAAAGAAAAGAAAAAAAAAAAAAAAAAGAAAAAAAGGTGTCCTCAGTTAAAGGCTGGAAATCAAGTGATATAGCTGAAAACCAAGCCGTTCAAGGAAACAAATCCAAAATCCATTTCAGCAGGAGAGGAATGGGGAAGTCCTGGGAGAGAGGGGCAGGACAGCCCCTTGCAGAGGTCATGTAGATGTGGATCAGCATAAAGTGATGCGTAGGGTTCCCCTGATGCTGCCTTGCTTTGGGAAGGAGTTTGCTGTCTGCTCTACCTGTATCCGAGCTGCAGGAGCACCTGAACCTGGGATTGCCTTTGTGATAGTAGTTGATGTTTGGGATTTGCACTGGGAAACGGGGCACAGAGCAGGTTAAAAATTAAAATCACCTTGAGAACATATTGCTTTGTTCTTCTCTATTAAAAACAAAAACAACACATACCGTACAAAGTTGATTTCAGCACACCAGCCACCTGCATTTGTTCCCCACACTCCATAGTTCTGGGTTTTATTTCTTTTCTGGGAGGGCTCCCTTTATCCTGCCCACTTCATCCAGCCCTAATCCAGCTCAAATCTTCCATCTATGTTTAGGAAACCCTGGCCGGTACAGTCCCCTGAACTGTGCTAGGCATCATGTGGGACAGGGCTAGCTCACTTCTGCCAAAACTGCATCCAGGAGTGTGCTGTGCCATCATGTGCCCTGGAGCCTGTACCATGGCTCTGATCTAGTCACTAGCATGGATGTAGCCATGGAGTATTTGTTCAAGAGGCTGGCTGTCTTTTATAAAATATCTCTTTAGAGTATGTGATCTTTTTTTCCCTTCATTTTAAGAATTCCCTTTTTTTTTTTTTTTTTTTTTTTTTTTCCCCCTCAGGGAATATTAAATACCTCATGGCAAAATTCAGCCTGTGGAAAGGAAACACGACTTCAAGGACTTATATACTTATATACTGATATGATGGAAAGGCTGGAGAAGTTGGAAAAAGAATTTAGGTGAGTCAGGCAACCAGAAAATATCCTCATTCTGGTGGTCCAAAGTTATGGCCCCTGCAGTTCTACATGTTCCCAGTCCTTCATGTTCCCAGCTTCTATGGCAGGGGGTGTTAGGACAATAGTCACCTCTTTGGCTGGAAGGGAAACTCGAGGGCTCTTTCCAGAAATAAAAGCAGATCCATGTGGACTGTTACCTACTCTAAGACCATAGCTTGTTGAGGCTGGCAGTACCACCGAGAAAAATACAACACAACTGGTTTCTGGCCTAGTGCCATCCCCTGCACGGCCCAGCCTTGGCATGCATGGGCTGGGACACAGACATGCTTAACCCTAAAAGGAAGGAAAGCAAACAAGCAAGCAAGAAAAGGTTTCCTGTGACAGTACAGTTTGGGGCATAAGTTTTCGTGGTGCCCATATGTGTACCAGGTTTCTTCTTTCAAAAGAGCATTGTAAGATTCCCCCAACTTCCCACCATGCCTTCAGTAGCAGAAGCTAGGGACCCGTAGGCCAAGGCAAGCTCTAGCATTGCTGACAGCTACTTGGGAATATTTCTGGCCAGGTTTGTGCAGGGGTGTCCGGGAACCATATACTTGGTGCAACGCGCACACAGGAACAAACACACTTTCTCCACAGCCTTTGGCGCTGGAGCCAGGGAAGGCACAGCCCTTCCTCATAGCTCTGAGCTTTGTGGGACAGAAACACAGTAGAGGATTTGACCACATTCCTCTTTCAGCAAGGAAAGGCCTGGGTCTGCCTCCTTGTTGCCAGGGACCTGCAAGCCAATCCTTTGAGCATGCCTCAGCAGAAATAACTGTGCTAAGCCTGAAAAATGTACTCTGGCCACAGGTAGGTGGGAGAGCTGGTTGGGACTCTGTTCCCTCTCCCTCCTACCACAACTGTCTGGTATGCGTGCTCTCCCTAGCTCCCTCACTTCTCCAGCCTTCTCACTCTGTTTCTCTACCAGTTCTGCAAACTCTGTTCCTCCCTAACCTGCAGGTGTCTTTTGTCACACCTTTTCCTTCTGTCCTCAGTCTGGCAGGAGTGTGCTGTGTGAGATAGCACAGGGCTAACACTGGGATCTGATGAGTGGTGAGAGTCCCCAGAGAAGAAATATCAATGTCCTGTCTGCAACCTTCTGAAAGCTCACCTCTGTTTTAGGGATACTGTCTCCAGATGATTTCCCTAACCTTGGGATACACTGAAAATGTTGAGAGAATAGTGCTTTCCCCAGGACTGGTATGGGTTCTCCATGCTTCCACGTCCTTGCTGAGCCTTGCTTCCAAAGGAGGGAGGACTGAGTCATTTGCAGGTTCTTCACCTGCTGGTGGCTGGCACTAATGCCCTACGGAGAGCAGTCCCTTTTCTGCCCTAAAACCAATGAGGACCCTGATGATCAATTGCATCTAGTGTATGCTAGTACAGGTTGGACAGGAGGTTACAAACAAGCCAAACAAGGGTGTCTCTGGCTTAGTACCAACATTTGCGGGGGCTCTATTGGGAACCCAGAGCCAGCTTACGGAAGCTGTTTAATCTGCATCATATAGCATACAGCTTTTACACTTTGACAGTATTTTATTTGCAGTGCTAGCTCCACCCTGTCCTTATACTCAGAAAATCACAAACCACCTACCTGGCAAAACACAGTCTTTAGAAGTTTTGGTCCATAGTTGTTTTTTTTTTTGTTTGTTTGTTTAAATAAGCTAGAAGCTGATAAAGAACTGGAGGGAGGAATTTTAGTTTATGCATTTCATAGGTCTTTAATGAATATTTTCTTTCTTACTGACTGTAATGTGTCATAATTTCTTTCTTCCCCAATGGACTGATGGGCAGTGAGAAGAGAGTTTGGTATGACAATGTTGAGGTTTGACTACAATTTCTGGAGAACTGCAACAGGTACCATGAATCTTTATTTTAAGAATACGTATGAGGGAGAAATCATGTGTTTCTGCAATTGTCATGAAAACATATTCAACCTTGGCTATCAGAACTGTTCTGCAGGATGGTCCAAACTTTCATTCTCCTATTTGGTTCCATTTTCATAGATAGGCTTGAGATCCAAGACAGATTTGTCTTGGAGTGCAGCTCAAGGTGTAGGGTACATTACAGGAAATCAAGTCAGAGAGGAGTCAGAGAGGGAAATTCAGGGGGTCAGAGAGGGAAATTGACCGGTGGAAGCATACTCTACCCACCCTGAGGCAGACTCATTAGCCAGCCACCACACAAGAAACAAAGGCTCCCCTATCCCACCAGGCAGCCACTGCACAATAGACAAAGGTTCCCCCATCCCACCAGGCAGTAGGAGGGGGACCTAAGACAAGGGGGGAAGGTTTCTGCTTGGGTGGTAGGTGAGCCCTCTCCCTGCCCACCTCACCTTCCTGACTAACCTTACGTAACAGGTATGAGGCTCCAGAACTTGACAGTCAAAACAGTGATGTAGACGAAAGCCCATCATGGTTGGAAGGAGTGCCTAAGGCAAGGCAATCTACCCCTCACATCACTACATCTTCTATCAAGAAAGAAAGTAGGGTTGTTGTCATGGGGAACTCCCTTCTGAAAGGGACAGAGGGCCTGATATGCTGTCCAGACCCAACCCACAGGGCAATCTGCTGCCTCCCTGGGGCGTGGGTAAGAGACATTGCCAGGAAAGTCACTCGCCTGATACGGCCCTCTGACTACTACCCACTACTGTTTTTTCAGGCCAGTAATGATGAAGTAGCAAGGAGAAGTCCAAGAGCAATCAAAAGGGTCTTTAGGGCTTTGGGGTGACTGGTTAAAGGATCAGGGGCATAGGTCATGTTTGCCTCTGTCCCTCTGATAGTGCTTTAATGCTATAATAAAATCAGAGGGACTGCGTGCTACTGAGGTCCTTCAGTCTACTCTATGAGTGCTGTGTACAATGAGGTGCATTTGAAGTGCTTTTGCACAAACACACTCAGTATGACGAATAAACAGAATAAGCTAGAAGTCTTGGCTCAGTCCCAGAAATACAATACCATCGGCTTCAGCGAAACCTGGTGGGATGAGTGCTGTGACTGGTGTGTTGCAGTAATGGTTACAGGCTCCTCAGGAGGCACAGGCAGGGCAGACGAGGTGGTGGGGTGCCAATGTACACGAAGGAGGGTCTGGACTGTATGGCGCTTGCAGCTGGCAATGGCAAAGTTGAGAGCCTCTGGGTAAGGATTAAGGGACAAACAAATAAAGTCTATTACAGACCACCCAGCTAGACTGCTGACACTGATGAATTATTATTTGAGAAACTAAGAAACACCTTGAGATCAGCTGCCCTTGTCCTTATGGGGGACTTCTTCAACTTGACAGACGTCAACTGGGATTACCACAATGACTGAAATGAGCAGGTCTGGGAGGTTCCTAAAGCACCTCAGTGATAACTTCTTGGTGCAGGTGCTAAGGGAGACAACTAGGAAAAGAGCCCACCTAGATCTGTTGCTGAAGAACAGAGAGGGTCTGGTGGGAGACATGGCAATTGGCGGCTGTCTTGGTCATAGTGACCATGAAGTGGCTGAGTTTAAAATTTTTGGTGACAGGAGGAAAACTGCCACCAAAACTTCAGCCCTGGATATGGGGAGAGCAGACTTCAGGCTACTCGGGGAACTAGTTAGCAAGGCCTCCTTGGAAACTGCTTTTGAAGGTATTGTTGTCCATCAGTGCTGGTCAGTCTTTAAGCACTGCCTCCTAAAAGCACAGGATCAGGCAATTCCAAAATATCAGAAGTCAAGCAGGCGGGGCAGAAGGCCAGCTTAGCTGACCAGGGTTCTTCTTATAGAGCTTAGGCATTAAAAATAAAGTGTATGGCTACAGGAAGCAGGGTCAGGCAACATGGAAGGACTACAGAAATGCTGTTCATGTTCATAGGGAGAAAATTCATGCAGCCAAAGCCCAGTTAGAGTTGAAGCCACCCAGGTCTGTGGGAGACAATAAAAAGGTTTTTTTTTAAATATGTGAATAGAAAAAGGAGGGACCAGAGAAAACATAGGTCTGCTACTTGATAGTGTGAAAAATCTCAAATAATGTTCTTCAGACAGGATCTTCTGTGAAGCTATTTTATTCGCAATTGCAATGGTGGGTGTCCTGCCAATTAGGAGCACGTTATAGTAAACAAATCATAACCTTTTATTCCCTATTGCTCAACACCTGATCACCTCCCCTGTTTCCTCATTGGCTGAGTACTACAGGTTCACAAGCAACTCAACGCTCCTCTACACCATATAAGTACAAGTTTTCTTTTTTTTTCAACCCTTTAATTTCTCCGTTTTCCCATTTTTTTCCCCTTTATTATGCTTTGAGAATCTGTGATCTTTGCTGTACTGTTCCCACACTGCTCATTCTGTTTTTCTCAAGCTTCCACCTTATTTTGGAAGAGTGAGGCCTTCTACTGTCCACTTTACTTAGCATTTCTCCTTATTATGACTACACAACTACTTGGAATACAGAAAAGTAATTCTCTACTGCAAAAGCACAACTTAATTTCTCACAGCGGGGATGGTCACCTCACAGACAAGGACATAGGCAAAGCATAGACATCTAATGCCTTCTTTGCCTCTGTCTTCAACGCTGATGATGGGCTTAGGGACCCCAGGTGCCCTGAGATGGAGGATTGTGACGGTGGGAATGATACACTCCCAACTGACCCTGAACATGTGCGGGATTTCCTGCCCTACCTGGATCCATACAAGTCCATGGGTCCAGATGGGATCCATTCCAGGGTGCTTAGAGAGCTGGCTAACATCATCGCAGGACCTCTCTCAATTATTTTTCAATGGTCTTGGGAATCTGGAGAGGTCCCAGTTGACTGGAAGTTGGCAAATGTTGTACTGATTTTCAAGAAGGGCAAGAAAGAGGACCCTGGCAACTACAGGCCTGTCAGTCTCATGTCAGTGTATGGTAAAATTATGGAGAAGATTATCCTTGGCGATCAGGAAGGGCGAGCAGGAAGGGCGAGCAGGAAGGGCGGAGAGCAACCCCCTCCCATACGAACACCT